TTTCCTAGTGACCGCCACCACACTTTCCACAAGACCCTTGGCAATAATGATTCCTGCCCCATTTCTGCATCTATCCTTACCACTATAATAAAGTTTAAAACCAGTATCCTCAATTTCCCTAGCTTTCTCTCCCGTCCACTTAGTTTCTTATATGCAAGCTATACTAACTCTCCTCCTAATCATAACATCTACCAATTCCATCGTCCTACCAGTTAAGGTTCCTATGTTCCAAATGGCTATCCTAAACCTATAGTCTTGGACTAACTTCTTTACCCGCACTCGTCCAGAAAAACGCGGAAACCTTTGCCCATTTTTCACCGCACCCAGGCGTCGATACGGCGCCCCTTGCTCACTTTTCGAAACACCTGGAGGCAGGCGCAACGCATCACTTGAGGGGAACGACCTAGCATTTAAACGATTCAAAGTAGGATTCATTTTCATAAGGGATCCGAGCGACTTTTTTACGTGTTGGCTATCGGCTACCTAACACACAACCCTCCTCCTTAACCCGGGCTTGGGACCGGCGGAGTTGTTAACAACCCCAGCGGAGTTAACACTTCAATGTAACACTTTAAAAAAAAAAAAAATCTTTACTGTATTTTTTCCAATCATAACACTACAAAAAAAATTTCTTAGTATGACACTCTAATGTAACACACACACACCAAAAAATTAGTGTACTTTTCTCAAATATAACACTCCAAAAAACCCCTTAGTGTAATACTCTAATGTAACACATACAAAAATTTCTTAGTGTACTTTTCCCAAATGTAACACTCCAATATAACACTCTAAAAAAACTCCTTAGTGTAATACTCTAATGTAACACATACAATTTCTTAGTGTACTTTTCCCAAATGTAACACTCCAATATAACACTCAAAAAAAAAAAGAATGTAAGATTGTTCAAACCATTCCAAAAAGAGTACAAACATTGCTTAGTAAGTTTTGGGCAAATGTGTAATTTCAAATTGTAAGTGTTACGTTTGGAAAAAAGTATGCTAAGGAGCTTTTAGTGTTTTTGTATGTGTTACATTGGAGTATATTATATTGGAGTGTTACGTTGGAGATTACATTGATTGGAGTGTTATGTTTTGAAAAAATACACTAAGGAGGCTTTTTTTTTTTTTTTTGGTCACATTGAAGTGTTACATCTGTGAAAAATACACAAAGGAGTTTTTTTTTAGTGTTACGTTGTTACGTTTAAGAAAAGTACACCAAGAAGTTTTTTAGTGTATTACATTAGAGTGTTACGTTATTGGAGTGTTACATTTTTATTTGTAATGTGGGATTTGTTCCAAAAAGAGGGAAAATTCAAAACTTCTATAGTACGGATTGCCTAAATGTGTAATTTTACATTTAGAAAAACTCACTTTTATCCATGAAAAATTAAACCCAAACATACGAGTGACTACACTTTTGTGTAATTTTCACTATAATAGGACTTTTGGCTTTATAAGACAAAAAAATGGACTAAGCAGTTCATAAGACCACATTTTAAAATTCATCGGTGCTTCACCCCAAATTTTAAGCCTCCGTTTGAAAAGAATTCTAAATTTTTTGGCTTTTCAATTATTTGAACATGACTAAAAAAATTTCATTTGAAATAAACTTTTGATTTTTTTTTATTTTTTTTATAATTTTGAGAAAGAGAAAGTAAAATGATTATGATTTAGATGTGACATTTTATCTTTTTGACTTTTTAACCTATTTTATCTTTTAATAGATTAATTTAAGTCTCGGCCATTTTGCCAAATGAGTAGGAATGTAAAAAAAATCAAAAAAATCGACTAAATCGATTGAACCGAATCAAACTAGCTATATTTGGTCTATTTTTCAATAAGAATCGATCTGTGCAGTTTTTAAATTTAATTTTTTTCGATATTCAGTTCAGTATTGGTTCAAACACCTTATGCATTGAGCTAAACTGAAACCGACCACTTCAATATATATTGTATTTATAATACTAATAATATAATGATATTAATAAGTATAATAAATTGTTAACCTTAATTAATTAACATTATCATCGTTATAAGCTAAGTATGTAAACTCTTATTATATATAATCTTAATTCTAACTCGTTATTCTTGAATCTTATTATTTTTGAACTTTTTTTTTTGTTTTTTTTGTTTTTTGTTAATTTAAGAATTGAAAAATATTTATTAAATGGATGGATTGAATATGTTTGAAATGGTGGATAAATAACTAATTTAATATTTTTATATAAATTAGTAATTATATTTAAAAATGGGTTTAAAAAGTCCTAGGCCAATTAAATCGTACCAAATCAAACCGTTTCAATTGGTTCGGTTTGGTACGGTTTGATGGGAGAAATAGTCTGTATCGGTATTCAAAACAATAAAACTAATATTATCGGTTCAGTAAAAAAATTTATTTAGATATCGACCGTACCGAACAGATTACATCCCTATCAAAGGAGACCTACATTCAAATATAGTAAATTACACACCACGTTTCCGCAGCTTTACGGTCAGCCAATTAGGATCTGCCATGTTAGTATAAAATTTATCTACATAAAAAGAAAATTAAAAATTAAAAAATAAAAAAGAAAAAAGAAAAAAAAGAGTTGGGCATTAAACATAGAGCATTATTATTTAGGTTCAAAAGTTAAACTAACTTTTTAGATCTGGTAATGTGCTAAAAAAATAATTGATTGATAATTAAATATTAACTAATTATCAATTAATCATTGTCTTGACACATGAATTTAAAAAATGAGTCTAAAAAATATATTTATATATCATTTTTCTTAAACATATTTCCTTTCTTCTATTAATAATGTGCAAAGCGGCGCGCGATCAATCTATCATCATCAACTTTACGGGGTGGCTCCCTTGCATATTCTTATCCTCCATACTCTTTTATATTTTATTTTTTGAGATTCATTCTAGGTCCACAATAATAATCTAAACCGTTCATCTTGTATCCAACAATTTAGATGAGTTATATAAAAAATTAGTTTCATCGGATATCGTTAGATATATAAATAAATTACATTTTGTTTTTTAAAATGGACAACAATTGTGAGTTTAAAATTAAACCTTTTGTTCTATAAAATAAAAAATAATTTATTTATATATTTATCAATATTCGATGAAGCTAATTTTTTACACAGACAATTTTTATTGTGAAATTTATAAAATAAACAATTTAGTTATTACTGTCGATTTATAATAGAGTTCCAAAAATAAAAAATTAAAAAATATATATAAAGGATAAAATATAGAACGGAGCCATTCCCTACTTTATATAGCCACCACGTAATTGAAAAGGTTAAAAAATCTTAGTTTTTTCATGCAATAATGCTTTCCAAATATTTTTTTTTTTTTTTTTTTTTTTCATATGAAATAAAAACGTTTCTACTACCAACCAAAGCCAACCCACACAATGACACACACACCAATGGCCACACCCACAACACTCAAGCATTGAAATAATATAATTTTTATATATAATAATAATTTATAATAATTAATTATATAATTTTTATAATTTTCGTAAATATAAATCATTTTTCACTTGAAACAATTGCTTTCATCATGCCACAGTGAGTTATCCGAACGTCCTGCAGTTTCCTTAGATCTCTAGCTATGGAAAGTGAGAACGTAGTTTGTAGTTTATGACACCAGAACACATCTAAATCAATTTTTTAACCTTTATTTTTATCAGTAGGCCATGAAATTAATTTTTATAAATTATTTATCAATTCTTATATGCTTATTTATGGGGAGAAATTTTAAATTATCTATAAGTTATGAAATTAAGTATTTAATTTTTATCTTTATCTGTACACCATGAAATTAATTTTCATAAATTAGTTATCAGTTTTTATATGTTTATCTATATGGAGGAATTTTGAAATTCAAATCTTTATCCATAAGCCATGAAATTAATTTTCATTTTAATTAATCAAACAAATAGAAAATGGAGGAAAATAGAAAACACGAAAGACAATCAAAAGGGTTGCCACGTAGGAAAGAGATAATTTTAAAATTATGAGAATTTAGGAATGAATATTTACAAATTTTTGACAAAACCACTACATTTGATTATATATATAGTATAGATTACAAACCACGTTTCCGCAGCTTTACGGTCAGCCAATTAGGATCTGCCATGTTAGTATAAAATTTATCTAAATAAAAAGAAAATTAAAAATTAAAAAATTAAAAAGAAAAAAGAAAAAAAAAGAGTTGGGCATTAAACATAGAGCATTATTATTTAGGTTCAAAAGTTAAACTAACTTTTTAGATCTAGTAATGTGCTAAAAAAATAATTGATTGATAATTAAATATTAACTAATTATCAACCAATCATTGTCTTGACACATGAATTTAAAAAATGAGTCTAAAAAATATATTTATATATCATTTTTCTTAAACATATTTCCTTTCTTCTATTAATAATGTGCAAAGCGGCGCGCGATCAATCCATCATCATCAACTTTACGGGGTGGCTCCCTTGCATATTCTTATCCTTCATACTCTTTCATATTTTATTTTTTGAGATTCATTCTAGGTCCACAATAATCTAAACCGTTCATCTTGTATCCAACAATTTAGATGAGTTATATAAAAAATTAGTTTCATCGGATATCGTTAGATATATAAATAAATTACATTTTGTTTTTTAAAATGGACAACAACTGTGAGTTTAAAATTAAACCTTTTGTTCTATAAAATAAAAAATGATTTATTTATATATTTATCAATATTCGATGAAGCTAATTTTTTACACAGACAATTTTTATTGTGAAATTTATAAAATAAACAATTTAGTTATTACTGTCGATTTATAATAGAGTTCCAAAAATAAAAAATTAAAAAATATATATAAAGGATAAAATATAGAACGGAGCCATTCCCTACTTTATATAGCCACCACGTAATTGAAAAGGTTAAAAAATCTTAGTTTTTTTTTTTTTGTTATTCATATGAAATAAAAAGAGAAAAGGATAACAAATAGAATTAGGGAATTTAATCCCGGCTAGAGCTGATATTCCTCATGTCAGTGATTAATAGAGGACAGATGGAGTTAGGTGGGTCATCTAGAAATATAGTGAGCTCTTGTTGGTTGACTCCTAGATTGGCCAAATCATCTGCACAGCTATTAGTTTCCCTAGGTATGGATGTGATTGAGCATTGACACCTCCCTAAGAGAAAGTTGGCATCTTCAATGAGAGCTCTATAAGGTGAGTTCATCTCAGCACCATCAAGAATAAGCTCCATAGCTGTCTGTGAGTCTGACTCGATATCAATATTGGTCAACCCTTTTGCATGATAATGGTTAGTCCTCTGTAGATGCCCCAAAGGCTTGTACAGTTGCCTAAGTAGCCATAATACCCCCACACCCAGGTTCCCAATTCATCTCTAAGCAGTTCTTTATAACCGGATTGTCCAGGGTCTTCTTTAGAGCTTCCATCCATGTTCAGCTTGAGTTTACCTACAATAAGACAAGACCACACCGTTAGTTGTGGATCTCTGAAATTTGGGTTTAGGATGTTATGGAAGGCTTCCTGAATTTCCATGGCTTGTTTAAAAATGGAAGTAACATTGATATGGGTAGGTTTTGAAAGGTTTTCGAACACTTCCTGGTTCCTCTCTTTCCAAATGCCCCATAGTGCTGTCAAGAATATTATAGGCCACTGAATGCTATTCACTTACTCCTTGCTTCTCAGATTTGCTTTGATCCATTCCTGTAGATGAGTGTTGATGTTGTGATGCCACCAACCAATGTTTTTAAATCGAACCCAAATTGCCTTGGCCTTAAGACAACCTCTTAGAAAGTGATGCATGTCTTCTCTGTTAGCTTAGCACCTGGGACATAACTCAGAGTTTGATAGGTTCTTGATGAGCCTCATATGGTTGGTGAGGAGCTTCTCATGCATGACAAGCAAAAGAAAGCTCTTAAGTTTGTGAGGAGCCTTTATTTTCCATAGCCACGTCCAGTCAACTTTGTCTCTATCTTCTTCCATAATAGCTTTGTAGGCTATGCTATAGTATATTTGCCACTTGTTGGTGCCTTTCCATTGAGGTGTGTCACTGAAAGTTACATACCTTGGTCTATATATGTTGAGAATTGATTCTTTGTCCTGTTGGGTTATAAGGTCTTGAATAGAGGTTAAGTCCCAATGTCCTTTTTCATCCAAAATAGTACTAACTTTGGTAGTGGTGTCGATGTGTTGCCCTTGATTTAAGATATACAAAGGCTGGTTGTCACACCACCAATTTGTCCATAAGGCTATGTTTTCCCTTGTACCAACATTCCACTTTATGTTCCTGTTCAAAACATCTTTATTTCTTATAATGCTTTTCCAAATGTGTGATGCTCTTCTCTTATTGGGCCAATTAGAAACAGAGTGGTTCTTGAGATATTTAGCTTTCAAAATTTTACACCAAAGTTCTTCAGAATTGGTGATCAATTTCCATCCCAACTTAGAAATAAAGGTTGTGTTTTGGTATCTAGTTTTCCTAATTCCTAGGCCCCTATTTCTCTTGGATTTGCACACCTGCTACCAATTAACAAGATGGACTTTCTTCCTATTCTCAATACTTCCCTAGAGAAAGTTTCTGTTCAGCCTATCTATTTGATCACAAACTCTCCTTGGAATTTCCATGGTTTGCATGAGATGATTAGGCATAGAAGAGGTGACAACTTTGATAAGGGTGGTTCTATCTACTAAAGACAAATTTTTTGTTTTCCAACCAAAGAGTCTTTTGGCCATTTTATCAATGACGTCTTTCAAGTGGTTTTGCTAATTCTATTGTGGAGGAGAGGAGTACCAAGGTATTTACCTAGGTCAGTGGTAATAGATATGCCACACCTATAACTAAAAGGAAGAGCTTCTCTTCTAGGGATATTAGGGGAGAAGAATATTTTGGATTTTTGAAAGTTGATTCTTTGGCCAGATATATCACAAAAATCAGAGAGCACTTCCATGATACAATCACAATTGCTTCGATTAGCTTTAGTAAATAAGATCAAATCATCAGCAAAAAAATAAATGGGAAATGGGAGGGCTGTTCTTAGAAGCCTCGAGGCCCTTCTATTTATCACTTTCAGTTTTAAGTCTAATCATGTTGGATAAAATTTCCATGCAAAGAACAAACAAACAGGGGAAGAAGGGATCCCTTTGTCTAAGGCCTCTCCCCATGGTAATGCTAAGTAGGGTCTCCCCATTCCAAATTATAGCAGAATTGACATTAGACACACAGTTCATGATAAGGGTGATCCGATCAGAGTTAAGATTGAATTCTTTAAGGGAGTGGGGAATGAAGTCCTAGGAGATACGATCATAAGCTTTCTTGAGGTCAATTTTAATGAACATCCCATCGAACTTACCTTTTTTACATCTAAGGGTATGGAGGATCTCTTGGGTTATGACAATATTATCAGTGGTAGTTCTACCGGGGATGAAGCTACTTTGGTTGGGACTAATAAGGTCAGACAGAAAAGGTTTGAGTCTGCCCATAATTATTTTAGTGATGGTTTTATATATGACATTGCAGAGGCTTATGGGTGTACATTGTTTGATAGACTCAGGATTGTCCAGCTTAGGTATGAGAACAATGAGGGTATCATTTATCTCTTTAGGTATAGCTTTCTTGTTGAAACAATCTTGAATGAAATGGCCAACAAAGGGACTGACAATGTTCCAATGGTTGTGATAAAAGACAACCTGAAGGCTATCTTTCCCAGGGGCTTTGAAAGCTTTTATGTTTCTAATGGCATTCCAAATTCAGTATGGGAAACAGGGGCAAGAAGACTGACATTATCTTTAGGAGTGAATTTGGATCTAATAATGTTAATCCAATTATTCATAAAGTGAGTTTCCTCTTGATAGAAAAGAGAGCTAAAATGGTCAACAATGTGGGCTTTAAGGTCAATAGTATTAGAGATCCAATTGCCATTATCATCTTTTAAAACATGAATTTTCAACTTTTTTCTCTTGGTTAGGGTAGAGATGTGGAAGAATTTGGTGTTATGATTTCCCAAAGTGAGCCATTTGTTTCTAGATTTTTGATACCAAAGAATCTCTTCTTGAAAAAGAGTCATATTAAATTGTTTAATGAGATATTTCTCAAGCAAACGAAGATTGTGTGAAAAAATCTGGCCTTGGGCTTTTTGAATTTCTTCTTTATGAGCCAGAAAAGAACGTTTTCTTTTAAAGATGCTACCAAAAAAATCTCTATTCTAGATTTTAACATTCTGAGTGAAGTTATTAATAGCTTCAAGAAGTTTACTGTCCTTATTAAACCAAAAACTGTGCGCAACCTCAGGAAAATTGAGGTAATAGAGCCAAGCTGCTTCAAATCTAAAAGGCTTATTCTGAGGAAGAGATGGATGTATATCTTGAGTATAAATCACCAATGGAGAGTGATTCATATAAGTTCTTAGGAGAGTCCTCACAGTGCCTTCAGCGAAGAGGGTTCGCCATTGGTCATTACTCATTGCTTTATCAAGCCGTTCCATTGTGTTCGCCAAGCCTTGACGATTATTTGTCCAAGTTAGACGAAGGCCAGTACTCCCTAGGTCAAGAAGATTGCAGTTCTTGATCCTTTCCATAAACCTTTGGGTTATGCTCTAATTATGGGTGTGTGAGAAACTCCTCCTCCCACTTTGGTTAGAATAATCGTTGAAATCTCCGGCAACAAGCCAAGGCCTAACCATATTTTTTACAGTATCTTCAAGATCCTCCCAAAGTGCCTCTCTAGATGATGGGTTGGGGTTAGCATAGACTGCATTTGTGATGATCCCGACCTCCGAACTAGTATATTATATTATTTTAATAAGTTTAATTGCATGATCGTGTGTTTAATTATGTGATTACACGTTTAATTTGAGATTATCTGTTGTTACATGGATTATCTCTTCAAATTGACAACTTAGAGTTAGAAATAGAAAGTCTAGACAGCCTCAGAAACTGAAATTGACCAGCCCAATAGGTTAATTAGAATATTTAGAATTTTATAGTAACTTTAATTAAAAATTTATTTGGATCAAAATAATTAGAATAAACTAATTGAATTAATTAGGATTAAGCTAGTTGATTAACCTTAATCATATGTGATTAGGCTAACTTAATCACACCATATAAATAGCTTTAAATAGCTTATGAGCTCATTTTATACACACACTTAGCTGAGAATTTAGAGAGAGGAGAGGAGAGTTCAACATTTAGAGAGAGAAAGAGGAGATTTGTAGAGAATTGGTAGAAGATTCAAAGATTGGAGTCATAATACACTTGAATTCAGACATTAGGTATCTAATTCATTCTAAATTCTTGGAATCAAGTCATATAGAAGTTGTATTCACCAGGGTTTTAAGTTCATTTGCATGGAATTGTTAAATAGAAGCTTCAATCACCTTGAATTTGGAAGTTAAGAGTTAAATATGTACAGGCATGCATAATTTGAATTAGAATTCATGAAATTCATACATGCATGGCACAATTATACCTTAATTTGGAGAATCCTTCATGTATTCATGCTCCTCATGTCACTTGATTATGTTTTGAATATGTTTTGAAGAAATATACGCTCAAGTTGAATTAAACTTATTTTATAACTTGAAATTGAAGTTTTTGGTTATGAATTTGCCATGGTTTCAAATAAATGGTTTCAAATTAGAAGTATTTTCATGTTATACAATGATTCTCCATGTTTTTGTACCAAAAACATAAGATTTGAAGCTTGAATACCATGTTTGAACTTCAAACACAATTCTAGAAATTCCAGAATTCGTGCTGTCCGCCGCTCGAGCATAAAAATCGAGCCCCCAAAAGTTTTCTAAAATTTTACAGGTCGCTCGAGTGATCGAAGTGGCGCTCGAATGAGGACCCTTTTTCTCAGTCTTCAGCTCGAGCGACCATCGAGCAGGAATTTCATGTAACTAGTACTTTTACAGACCGCTCAAGCGACGTAAGTTATGCTCGAGCGACCACCTTTGTTTTTGAACCCCCACTCGAGCGTATGAAGTTGCGCTCGAGCGGAGACCCATTCTTTAGCAAAATTTTACCAACTCTCTTAAGTGCATATTTGCATCCTCATGTCACTCTGAGCATTCTTAGGCACCATTTGGACTCCTATAATCATACAATAAGTTAGAAACACATAAAAAGTATTGAATTAAAATGAAATGGAGTTTCATTTGTACTTTGTTATGTGTTTCGTTTAGGTGGACGTCTGAGGCTTAGTGTCACCACAAACCACTGTGAGTAATAACCTTATAAAGATATGTTCAAATTATCTTTACTTTCGAAAGTGTTATTACTATCAAAATGGATATGTGATAATTTGTGTGAATTCTTAAATGATTTGATCATTGATAGCATGGCTTATTGAAATGTTATGTCCTTTAATGAATGAAGTTCTATTTTGAAACAGTATTGTGGCATCCATTGAATGTAGGCCCTTGCCTGGGGGTAACAATACCATGGCTAGGCCATTGCCTGGGGGTAACAATACCATGGCTTTTGAATTGATTGACTTATGGTTCGTTATTAGTACAATGTCATCACTTCATGGATGTACCACATAAAACGATATTGAAGGGAGTTAATGAATTAATAAAAATTTGGTCTGACAATGTTATTGAGCTTCATTCATTTAACCTCTTTATTCTGTTATTACTCATTGGGCTCTAGCTCACTATTTATTTATATATGTAAATGTAGGTGGGCAAGCTAAACATCAGAGTTAGATAGCCTCGAGTCTACCTGGGTCAGCCTTTTGTGGAGCTTCCAGGTGAAGTGATTAGGCTCAGGAGGAGCCATGCTTGTTGAACCCCTTCGTGTATTTCCATGTTTTTTTGTATATGTGTATAATTGGGGGTTGTATACCTATAAACCATGAATTTGTACTTATGTTGGATGTATCTTTGAAACAAAACCTTGCTTAACATATTCGTTGTTCTCATATATGCACTGCTCAATGGATAAATTCTATGTCATTTTAGACTTCCGCTAAGCCCCATACTTTATAATTAAAGGTTCTTTTGTATGGAGGCCGTAGGTAATCTATGATTACTGGCCGGTCATGACACTAAACCTATAGGGGCGGGTTTGGGTCATGACAAAGTGGTATCAGAGCACGAGTTATATCTCACTCACTTGTCCATTGAGCTATAGAGGGTCTAGAAGAGACTTCAAGATTACATTCATGTGCATTTGATATGTTGAATGAGATAACCTTGTTATTATATGTGCAATTGCGTGCATGACTATATATATATATATTATGTTTGTTATAATACAAAGTTTCATATAGAAAATGGTGAGAGCCAGAGGTGATGAAATAGAGGAGGCAACCTTCTCAAGACTGGATAGAATGGAACGAACGATGCAAGACATGGCCGAAGCCATAAGATAACAACAACAATGACAACAACAACAACAACCACCTCCCTCACCTCCAATGCCTGTACCACCTCCAGCTCCGGGGTGTCAGCTGGAGACTTGTACTATTGCCTTGGCCAGGGAATTTAAAAAGATGAAGCCACCAGTGTTTCATGGCGGAATTGAACTGTTGAAGGCCGAAGCTTGGGTCTTGGGAATTGAAAAGTTGTTTGAAATATTTCCATGTACCGAAGCTCAGAAAGTACAACTAGCCGCATTCACCCTAGAAGATGATGCCAGACGTTGGTGGATGTTAGTGCGAAATGATAATAAGAATGTTACTTGGGCTCGTTTTCTGGAAATCTTCTACGAGAAATATTTTTCCCAATGTGTGCGGGATAGAAAGACAGCTAAATTCATGGAACTCAAGCAGGGAAATAAATCAATTGCTGAATATGAGGCTCAATTTATAGAATTAGCTCGTTTTGCACCCCACATGGTAGACAGATTACAAGAAAGCTAGACAGTTTGAAGGAGGTTTACGTGACCCAATTCTAGATAAAATCAATGTATTCAAATTGCCGACGTATGTGGATATACTTGATAGGGCACTAATAGTGGAGAGAAATGTGGCCAACCGTAAACGAAATTTTGAATGGAAAGGCAGAAAACGGAATTTTAATAAGGGAACTACGTCAATGAACAAGAAGTTTAAGTCGGGGAGTTTTAGTAATAATGGTTCAAGCCAAAGTGGTAATTCAATGCCTACTTTTACTACATGTGGAAAGAAACATGGAGGTGTTTGCTATCGTGTGACAGGGGCTTGTTATCACTATGGGAAATTTGGGCACATTACCAAAGATTGTACACAACCACGTCAGGATGGCAACCGAGGTGCCACAAGCTCGATTAGGTCGGCTTCCACAACAAAACCAGTTGCAGCATCACCTACCCTAAGAAATGACCAAAGGCAAGGAAGGGTTTTTGCATTGATTCCAGGGGATACTCAAAATACTGAGGCCGTGGTGTCAGGTACAATCTTCATTTGTGGTAAACCTGCTTATGCTTTAATTGATTCCGGGTCTACACACTCGTTTATTTCTATGGTCTTTGCTGAAACTTTGAATAGACCTATGGAAACATTGAATTATATACTATGTGTTGCATCACCTAGAGGGGAATCCATGCTATGTTCAACTGTATTTATTGCATGTGAATTATTTTTCAGGAATGCTACTTTATATGCTGATTTAATACCTTCAGACATGGGACATTTTGATATTGCTTTGGGTATGGATTGGCTAGCTAAATACTATGCAGCTATTGATTGTGCCTTGAAACGAGTAATATTCCGACCTCCCGGGCAAGATGAATTTTATTTTGAGGGAAAAGGGGTAGTTTCACCACCATACCTCATATCTGCCATGAAAGCCCGAAAACTAATCAATAAGAGTTGTCATGGGTATTTGTGTAGTGTAATAACTGAACCAATGGTAGACATTACTCTAGACAATATACCAATGGTAAGAGATTTTCCTGATGTATTTCCGGATGAATTACCTGGCCAACTTGTTGATAGAGAGATTGAATTCACAATTGATGTAATGCTTGGAACTCGACCAATTTCTAAAACTCCTACCGTATGTCTACCACTGAAATGAAAGAATTGAAAATTCAGTTGTAGGAATTTCTTGATAAAGGGTTTATCAGACCGAGTACATCCCCATGGGGTGCACCGATACTTTTGTTTAAAAAGAAAGATAGCACTTTCCGATTATACATTGATTACCGAGAGCTCAACAAGATAATAGTGAAAAATAAATACCCTTTGCCACGTATTGATGACCTGTTTGACTAGTTGCAAGGGGCACAGATATTTTCGAAAATTGACTTGAGATCGAGATATCATCAACTGAAGGTTGAGGCTGAGGACGTTGAAAAGACTGCCTTTCGAACCAGGTATGGACATTATGAGTTTTTAGTCATGCCTTTTGGAGTTACAAATGCGCCTACAGCATTTATGGATTTAATGAACAGGATTTTCAAACCTTTCTTAGATGACTTTGTTGTTGTATTCATTGATGACATCTTGATTTATTCGAAAAGTAAAGATGAGCATGAACGACATTTGAAACTGACTCTTCAAACACTTAAAGAAAAACAGTTGTATGGGAAATTCAAAAAGTGTGAATTTTGGCTTGATGAAATTGCATTTTTGGGGCACATCATTAATAAGGATGGCATATCTGTGGATCCTCATAAAATTAAAGCTATTATTAATTGGCCTATCCCAACTAATGTATTAGAAGTTTGTAGTTTTATGGGATTGGCAGGGTATTATCGAAGATTTGTTAGAGACTTTTCAAAGATTGTCGTGCCATTGACTCAGTTAACTCAGAAAGGGGAACCGTTTGAGTGGACGGATTAGAGGGAAACAACTTTTTAAGAATTGAAGATGAGACTGACTACAGCTCCCATTCTTACTATTCCTTCTGGTACCGAAGGTTTTATGATCTTTAGTGATGCATCTTATAAGGGCTTCGGTTGTGTTTTAATGCAGAATGACAAGGTGATTGCATATGCCTCACGGCAATTGAGGCTGCACAAAAAGAATTACCCTACACATGACTTAGAACTTGCTGCAGCTATGTTTGCATTAAAGATATGGCGTCACTATTTGCTTGGGACCAAATGTGAAGTGTACACAGATCATAAGAGCTTGAAATACTTTTTCACCCAGAAAGAGTTGAACATGCGTCAAAGACGATGGCTTGAACTAATCAAAGACTATGACTTGCAAATTCACTATCATCCGAGTAAAGCCAATATTGTAACAGATGCACTTAGTAGAAAAAATGTGGGGAATCTTGCCTGTTTACTCACAAATGAGAGAACTGTTACTGGAATTTGAAAAACTCAAAATTGAAGTGGTGCCCTTTGAACAAGACAGCTTGATAGCCGCAATGTCTACCCAGCCTGCCATTATCGAGGAAACTAAGCAGAAACAAACGAATGATGAGTTTTTGAAGAAGATTTGTGATGAACTTGACACCAAGCCTAAACTGGGGTTCATAATTGAAGACTCTGTGTTGAAATATCAAGGGAGATTGTGTGTTCCGAATCATGCGGATTTGAAAAGGAAAATTTTGGAGGAAGCTCACAAGTCAATGTTTGCTATGCATCCAGGAAACACCAAAATGTACCAAGACTTGAAGTTAGTGTATTGGTGGCCCAACATGAAAAAGGACATTGCCGACTTCAACTCTAAATGCTTACAATGCCACCAGGTAAAAGCGGAGCATTAGAAGCCAACAGGTTTGCTTCAGTCTCTTCCTATTTCGGAATGAAAATGGGAACATATCACCATGGACTTTGTTGTTGGCCTACCTCGGACACCTACAGGTATGGACTCTATTTGGGTTATAGTTGATAGATTGACTAAATCTGCTCATTTTCTTGCTGTAAAGACTTCACTTACTGCTTATAGCTTGCTACTATCTACATTAATGAGATTATTCGACTGCATGGGGTTCCAGTGTCTATTGTATCAGATAGGGATCCTAAATTTGTTTCTAGATTTTGGCATAATCTACAGGATACAATGGGAACAGAATTGAGATTTAGCACAACATTTTATCCACAAACAGATGGGCATATCGAAAAGACTAGTCAGACCTTAGAAGCATGCTTCGTATGTGTGTATTAGATTTTCAGGACAGTTGGGAAACTTATTTGCGATTGGCCGAATTTGCTTATAATAACAGTTTTCACGCGAGTATCGGTATGGCACCATATGAGGCACTATATGGCATAAAGTGTAGATCGCCAGTTTGTTGGACAGAGGTTGGTGATAGAGCTATTTATGGGACCAAACTTGTGCAAGAAACGACTGAGAAGATTAAAATCGTTCAGCAAAGGCTTAAAACTACACAGAGCCGACAGAAAAGTTACGCGGATCAGCGAAGAAAGGACTTAGAGTACGAAGTGGGAGATCATGTATTCATCAAAGTGACCCTAATGAAGGGGCATATGAGATTTAGTAAAAAGGGAAAACTAATTCCTCGCTACATTAGACTGTTTCCGATCCTTGAGAGGTTAGGTCTTGTTGCTTATCATATTGCCTTGCCACCGGGGATGGAACAAGTGCATAACATTTTCCATGTATCCATGCTTCGTGGGTATCTTAGAAATCCGTTCCATGTGATTGATTACCACTGGATTGCTCTAGATGAGGATATGATGTATGAAGCATGGCCCATGCAAATCATTGATCGGCTAGTGAAGCAATTGAGAAACAAAACTATCTCTATGGTAAAGGTTGAGTGGAGAGAACATTATGGGAAGGAGGCCACTTGGGAGAAAGAGGAAGAGATGCGACAACGGTATCCGCATTTGTTTCCATCTGAAGGTAACTTAAGTTTGGAGGACTAAACTTTCTAAGGGGGAGAGACTGTGACGACCCCGACCTCCGGACTAGTATGTTATATCATTTTAATAAGTTTAATTGCATGATTGTGTGTTTAATTTTGTAATTACATGTTTATTTTGAGATTATCTGTTGTTACATGGATTATCTGTTCAAATTGACAACTTAGAGTCAGAAATTGAAAGCCTAGACAGCCTTAGAAACTGAAATTGACCAGCCCAATAGGTTAATTAGAATATTTAGAATTTTATGGTAACTTTAATTGAAAATTTATTTGGATCAAAATAATTAGAAAAAACTGATTGAATTAATTAAGATTAAGCCTAGTTGATTAACCTTAATTATATATGATTAGGCTAACTTAATCACACCATATAAATAGCTTTAAATAGCTTATGAGCTCATTTTATACACACACTTAGTTGAGAATTGAGGGAGAGGAGAGGAGAGTTCAACATTTACAGAGAGAAAAAGGAGATTTGTAGAGAATTGGTAGAAGATTCAAAGATTGGAGCCATAATACACTTGAATTCACATATTAGGTATGTAATTCATTCTAAATTCTTGGAATCAAGTCATATAGAAGTTGTATTCACCAAGGTTTTGAGTTCATTTGCATGGAATTCTTAAATAGAAGCTTCAATCACCTTGAATTTGGAAGTTAAGAGTTAAATATGTACATGCATGCATAATTTGAGTTAGAATTCATGAAATTCATACATGCATGGCACAATTATACTTCAATTTGGAGAATCCTTCATGTTTTCATGCTCCTCATGTCACTTGATTATGTTTTGAATATGTTTTGAAGAAATACACGCTCAAATTGAATTAAACTTATTTCATAACTTGAAATTGAAGTTTTTGGTTAAGAATTTGCCCTGGTTTCGAATTGAAAGTATTTTCATGTTATACAATGATTCTCCATGTTTTTGTACCAAAAACACAAGATTTGAAGCTTGAATACCATGTTTGAACTTCAAACACAATTCTGGAAATTCCAGAATTCATGTTGTCTGCTCAAGCAAGGGAAGCCCCACTCGAGCGTAAAAATCGAGATCCCAGAAGTTTTCTGAAATTTTACAGGTCGCTCGAGCGACCAAAGTGGTGCTCGAGCGAGGACCCCTTTTTCTCAGTCTTTTGCTCAAGTGACCATCGAGCAGGAATTTCATGTAACTAGTACTTTTACAGACCGCTCAAGCGACATAAGTTATGCTCAAGCGACCACCTTTGTTTTTGAACCCCTCCTCAAGCGTATGAAGTTGCGCTCTAGCGAAGACCTTGTTTTCAGCAAAATTTTACCTACTCTTTTAAGTGAATATTTGCATCCTCATGTCACTCCGAGCATTCTTAGGCACCATTTGGACTTCTATAATCATACAATAAGTTAGAAACACATAAAGAGAATTGAATTAAAATGAAATGGAGTTTCATTTGTACTTTGTTATGTGTTTCGTTTAGGTGGACGTCCGAGGCTTAGTGTCACCACAAACCACTGTGAGTAATAACCTTATAAAGATATGTTCAAATTATCTTTACTTTCGAAAGTGTTATTACTATCAAAATGGATATGTGATAATTTGTGTGAATTCTTAAATGATTTGATCATTGATAGCATGGCTTATTGAAATGTTATGTCCTTTAATGAATGAAGTTTTGTTTTGAAACAGTATTGTGGCATCCATTGAATGTAGGCCCTTGCCTGGGGGTAACAATACCATGGTCAGGCCTTTGCCTGGGGGTAACAATACCATGGCCAGGCCCTTGCCTGGGGGTAACAATACCATGGCTTTTGGATTGATTAACTTATGGTCCGTTATTAATGGAATGTCATCACTTTATGGATGTACCACATAAAACGATATTGAAGGAAGTTAATAAATTAATAAAAATTTGGTCTAACAATGTTATTGAGTTTCATTCATTTAACCTCTTTATTCTGTTATTACACATTGGGCTCTAGCTCATATTTATTTATATATGTAAATGTAGGTGGGCAAGCTGAACATTAGAGTTAGATAGCCTCGAGTCTACCCAGGTTAGCCTTTTGTGGAGCATCCAAGTGAAGTGATCAGCCTCAGGAGGAGCCATGCTTGTTGAACTCCTTCGTGTATTTCCATGATTTTTTGTATATTTGTATTATTGGGGGTTGTATACTTATAAACCATGAATTTGTACTTACGTTGGATGCATCTTTTAAACAAAACCTTACTTAACATATTCGTTCTCCTCATATATGTACAGCTCAATGGATAAATTCTATGTCATTTTAGACTTCTGCTAAGCCCCATAGTTTGTAATTAAAGATCTTTTGTATGGAGGCCGTTAGGTAATCTATGATTACTGGCTGGTCATGACGCTAAACCTATAGGGGCAGGTTTGGGTCCTGACAACATTAAGCATCCATTCTTCATAATCCTCTTTGTGAACTGTAGCTTATATGTATTGGTTGGTAATAGCCGAGGCACGAACGTTGACTTGGTCAGTATCCCAAATTAACTAGATGCCACCTGATCTTCCCACCGGATCAACAATGGTAGCTGCTGAGAATCCTATATTGCTGAAGAAGTTTCCCATAGAGCTATACTGGACTTTAGTTTTCATGAGGATAAATATACCAGGTTTTTGGGTTTGGATAAGTTCTCTCATATTCCTTCTAAAGGTATTGTTACCAGCCCCGTGGCAGTTCTAGATCAGAATTTTTAGAGAATCCATGGATGGGAAGGCAGGTAATGGATCAGTAACAAGGCTAGTTAGAAGGCTGTGTATCCTGCGATGGTCCTGATCGACTAACCTCATGGACGCCATCTGCAGCGAGTGGAGTGGAGGGTCTGGAGTGGTGCTCCATCCTAGTTCTATCCTCAACCTGATTTGCTCTATCTACCAAATTGTATCTACATGGTGAATTACTTTTCTCCCTGGCTCTATTAATAGTCATATCGCATTGCTCTCCATCTTATAGATTGACACTTCCAGTTTGTTAATCTCTTCCTCCATTGCTGATATCTGGATCTGGAGGTTTTCGAGCCCTTGTTTTTCCTTCTCTGAGATTGAAGGTTTGTTTTGAAGAGAGATGGTGAGCTGGGGGAGATTTAGAAATGGCATCAGGAATCTCTATCATCGAGATTTTTACTGTTTGGGTCTAGCAGATAAGGAATCACAGGTTTCAGAGGGAGGGAGGGCACTTTTGGTGTGTTGTCTTTTCCTATGTCTGTAGTGAATTCAAAGGTCAGTGGTGTGTTATCACATGAATTGGGTTGTGTATGTGGTGTTGGATTTTTTGTGGATTGGCTAGGTCATCCGTATGGTTTGGCTTTTTAGTGTTAGTAATCTGTTGGTGGGCTATGGTGTAATCCTGTCCAGTAGGGTGTAGACACCCCATTTTTTATGGTCCTTTAAGACTTGGATGTTCTTGTAGGTACATCTGATGGCGAGTCTGATTGCTCACCAAACGCTTGAAGTCCGTTGCAGAACGCCACAGGTTTAAGTTTTCCAAACCCTACATCTATTTTGTCTCATCTTTGGACCATGCTTAGGCCTTTTCAGAATGAAGTTGTTGATGACCAGCCATTGAGTTGGTTGCATGTTTTTTAGTGCTTTAATTTCAACACCTAAATCTCTGCAATCTCCCTAATTTCTTCACTTTTTGGTTTTGTTTTGAAAGTGGTTTCAAGCCATTTGTTTGTCTAAGTGTGAAATGAAGGTGTTACACCTAATGGTTTAATCCCTTAGGGGAATGAAGTTGTTGATGGCCTGCCAGCCATTGATGTGCCTTGCCGGCCATCAATGAAGCCTTGTTGGACATCAGTGTTTACTGTAGATATTTTGTGATATTTTGTGCCAACTGTTTTCATAAGTTCATGCATCGTCCAACACGTGTATGGCTAGATGTTTGTGAGGGGATTTTGTATTTTCTATATATAGGACCCCTCTCTTGCATGTGGAGGGCTTAGAAAAATTTAAAGACAAAAATTCTCTCTCTAGATTTCTCCATCTCTCTTACAATTTTATGCCTTGAAGCTTGTTTTCTCTACACTTTTACATACACTACCTTGATCAAAGTTACTTCTCTTTGAGCTGAGGTTCCTTGAGACTTGATTTGAGCTCTAGCACGTGGTTTTAGCTTGGATTTGTGCCTAGAATTGCTCTTTGCTTCAAGAGGTAGTTTACTTACTTGGTTCACTTGTTTAGCATGCTTGTTTTCTCATCTTTTCAAATTGTTTTGAGGCTGGTTTGGAACTAAAAAAATCTCTGTTTTTATGACCTGAAAATGGAGGTTTGAAGCCTCTTTTCGTTAAGGGGTGGTTCATCCTTCTTGCTTGTTAGTTTGCTAAGCTTTTGTGCCTTTATTCATTACTTTAAAACCAAATTTTTTAGGCCTTTTAACCACTGAATTTCAGAGGTTTTTCAGTGGTAAAAAACTTATTCTGAAGTCCAAAATTGGAGGGGTTAGCCCCCCTCCTTGTGCCTTGTTTGCATGCCTAGATTTATGTTTTAGCCTATTAATCTAGCTTGTTTTAGCTCAAGTCTTGCATGTCTTAGCCTCTGAAATAACATGTTTTAGCTCTGTTTTGGGCTGGTTAGTTGGTTTGAGTCTTGTTTTGCATAGTTGCAGTGCAACCTCACGGATTAGCTGAATGTTTTGGCTTTTTGTGTCTTGAGTCCAGCATGTTTTAGACCATATTTAGGGCTATTTTGCCTCTGTTTTTGGTTGTTTGTTTCATTTGAGCCTTGCATGGCATGGTTATAGTGTTAATTCCTTCACTGGTGTAGTGTTTTAAGGCTTTAAGTCTCATTGGTGTGAGTTGGTTGCATGTTTTTTAGTGCTTTAATTTCAACACCTAAATCTCTGCAATCTCCCTAATTTCTTCACTTTTTGGTTTTGTTTTGAAAGTGGTTTTAAGCCATTTGTTTGTCTAAGTGTGAAATGAAGGTGTTACACCTAATGGTTTAATCCCTTAGGGGGTTCATTACCAATAGTGGAGCATCAGTGGTCGGCAGTGTC